TTGGCAGAAATGTAATATAATATAATTTTCATTAGTGTGTAATCACCTGAAAAAAAGAATCGTGTTTTTGTTACCATATGAGCCTTTTTTATATATGCTTGGAAGGGGAGGGTAAAGTTAGGTAGTTGCAATCTGCAACTACACCGCTATATGCCACTAAAGTCTACACACTGGTTCTGTAGCCTTTGGAGTCAACTGTGTCTAAATAAATGGAGCAGATGTCTTAAAATCAGACTCAATTTGATGTATGATTGTATGATATTAGAATAAAACACAGTTGCTAGTGTGCTGGTTGGTGGGTCTACCACTTTACTACTGGGTAGACGGCCATGAAATCCAGAAGATGAATCCTAATGACTTTGGTGAGCCCCTGACTCTCTCTATAGCGCCAGCAGCAGGTTGATATTTGTGGTTTAAGTGTTTAGTCTAAACAAATGTTGGATGGATTGCAATTACAGTTTCATGCAGATAGCCATGTTCATTATGAATTTTGGTGACCCCCCTCTAGTGCCATCATCAAGTTAAAAGTCCGTTCATCCAGTACTTTGATTTATCTCTGTAACAGTTATCTTTACAATAAACATTATAGCCTCGCAAAGCCAATAATGAAAACTACATACTTCAAGTTATAAATCAATTAGTTCCTGATGCTAAAACATTTATTTACTATTTTACTACACATATTTTTTTATCCACTATCTCGTAAGATAAACGGTAGAATCACACTGTTCATGTTATGAATTAATCTACCAGGAATGTGTGCTTGCTTATTTATTTTAGCCAGTGCAGTGCAATCTCTTGCAAGATAACACTGCATTACATCATGGCAAAAGTGAAGTCAGATATATCTTTTATTGCTGAACAATGGCATACGCAGGAAACCTCTGTTTTGGTATCCTTGTGGTGCAAACGCGGCTGTCTTACTAAAACAGGAGGCTGCATTTGACTTATTGCTAATGTCTGTCGAAACACAGTCGTATTTGACTTTAAAATGAATATGTTAAAACTGGTCCAGCCACAAAACCCTCACTGTGTTATACCCGAACCATTACTTTTTTTCCACAATTTGATGTGCTTTATTAAAAGGAAAAAAGAAACACCATCAAAAATTCAAAATGTCAAACAGTCCCTTTATGGAAAATGGCCTTTCTTAATGGCTGATAAAGACAGACATCCTAAGTGGTTTTAATGTCAGCTCCTCTCTCCGTCTCTGTCTGTCTGTCTCTTTCTGTTTCTGTCTCTCTCTCATGCTACACCAATGGGTCAGGACCTAAAATGGGTCATAGGCCTATGTTTAATAGATCCCCATATGACCACAGTAGTGATATGCCTCAGCCCAGGTCCCATGATGAGAGGCTAAATGTTTCATTTGGGTCCCAGGCTGAAAGGTTTAAGAGCCCTGGTCCTAAATGATAGCTAGACCTCGAGCTGAGCGGCGGACTGTAAGGGGACAGCGAGTCCTTGGCCTTCACTCTGAGTCTCACCCTGGCACAGTGAAGTGGTCTGTCCATGGCTGATAAGTGGTTTTAATGTGATCTCCTCCCTCTTCTCTTTTGCTCCCTCTCTCCTCTCTCATTTCATCTCCCTCCATATTCCTCCCTGCTTCCTCACATTGGTCTTGCCTCTTCCTTCACTCAAACGTATTCATTTTTTTCCCCCTCCTTTCTGCCCTAGATGATGGCTTGGCTCCAGCTGTGGACTATGGGGCTTATTGCCACTATAGCCTTGTCCATCTTACTCACTGTTGCTGATTCTGGCGTACCTGGGGTGGAAGGAGAAAAGAGAGGCCCTGTTGAGATTGTGAAGAAGGAGACTCATCCTGTCCTACTCAGGCAGAAGAGAGACTGGATCTGGAACTCTCTCTATGTGGCGGAGGAGAAACCTGCGCCTCTTCCCTACAAGATAGGACAGGTAGGTTAACATCAGCCTGACAGTCTGAAGCTCACAACTAACACAATCCCACAAGAATTCTCATTAAATTTCTGATCTACTTCCTGGGCCCAGCTTCTACAGTAGTGTTTAAACATTCAAAAATCTACTTGCCATGGCTGTCTGAAGGGAAGGCAAACATGTATTTTTGTCACTTTCATTCAGTTTGATGCTGCCAAGAATCTGGGGCATTAACTTGTTGCTATAACCAGCTCTTTGATGAATATCTGAGCATTTTTGCTAGAATACTTTATTTGCAGAAATTTGCTGGACGGTTGTTGATTTGAGTCCTCACTCCAGCAGGGAACAGACTGAATACTGAAAACTAGGAGGCAGTCAACCTTATTCTTTTTTTTTTTTTGCTTTCACAGCTGAAATCGAGCCAGAGAGTGGAGGTAAAGAAATTCAAAATAAAAGGTGAAGGAGCAAACAGCATCTTCACTGTGGATGACAAAGGAGACCTGTTTGTCACCAGATCTCTGGACAGAGAGGAGAAGAGCATGTATAATTTGACTGCCACAATGTATGATGGGAACAACAGGGTGATAGAGGATTCTGGAGACTTTGTTGTGCAGGTGACGGATATCAATGACAACATCCCTGTTTTCCCCAAAACATACAATGGATCCGTTATGGAGAGGTCCTCGATAGGTGAGTTGGGCTGTTGATCATCAGCAGTTGATTGCAGGTTGCTCACAGTTTTAGTTTTTTTAACAAGTGATGGAATAGGGAGGCGAGAGATAAATTAGGTTTATTTGTATAGCCCTATATTACATACAGTGTTTAACAATGGGTTTTATAAGCCCACAACATCAATGTGTTCCAACCAGCCCAAACTCTAAGAAAACACAAAAAACGAAAATAAAATGCGTTGCCAAGACCATGAATTAAGCGAATCCTTACAGGACAAAGTCTCTATCTCTCATATATATATTTGACATTTACTACCTAGTGATAATTTAGATTAAAAATAGACTGTACTGTGAAAAGTCTGGGAAAAATTTAATGTCAACACCTGTCACAATCATTAGCGCATCCCTCTGTGAAAAAAGGCACATTGCTGACTTAAATAACACAATCTTAGCACATAATCATAATGCATTAATCAGTTAAATAGCCGTGATGTTCAATACAAGAAACATTTCTGTTGGAGAGTTATGCACTTGTATAACACTATACACTGTAGCATGATGTCTTATTACATTTATGTTCTTTCAGGAACTGAAGTAGTTAAGGTGACGGCAACCGATGCTGATGACTCCACCACTGTTAATGGTGAACTCAGGTACTCTCTGATCCAAGACCTTTCTGCCTTCGAAATCGACAGCGTGAAAGGTAGGCTTGCTGCACCAACATCCAACATGATCATTATTCCGCAGTAATATTATAATTTTCTTTGTTAACAAGTTAATGTTAGGGAGGTGTAGATGTGCAAGCTATTTTTACTTGACTATGAATCAGAGCTGACCTCAAAGATAACACCCTCTCTGTCTGTCTGTCTCCCTCACTGTCTCTCTGCAGGTGTGATCAGCTGCAAGATAAAAAATCTGGACCGGGAAACCAAGAGTCAGTATGTGGTGGTTGTTAAAGCTCAGGACATGAGAGGAATGGCCTCTGGCAGCACAGCCACCACCTCTGTCACCATCACCATCACCGACACCAACGACAACATCGCTTCTTTCACCCGAAGTAAGGAACTCAAAGTGTTAGAGTAATATAAAATAGTTTAGGAGTTGCTATTCTGGAAACATTGACAGTGTGCCTATTAAATATTCACAGTACTTTACATATTAAGTGTCTCATATACACAGCATTATACTTGATGACTGTTTTCTGTCTGCAGAGACATATGAACTGCAGGTTCCAGAGGACCACAAGTTGAATGAGAAAATAGGCACTCTGGAGTTGGAGGACAGAGATCTGATTCAGAACAAAAACCCCATCTTTATCATCCCAAACGACATCAGAAGAGTGTTTAATGTTGAACTCAGCCCTAACAAGGACGGTAACCTCATGCTCAAGCAGGTAGGAGGCTCACATAGCAACGAATGAAAAGATGATATCTCAAGGCTCTTTTAAGTTGTTTTTATTTTTGTATTTGTAAATCAGCCATAGCATTCCCTGCTATTGGAGTGTCAAGTTGATTTTTTTAATGGAAGTACATACTGATTCAGTGCTTTAGGGAATTTTGCTACCGTGTTTGCTGTCTGAAATTTGTGATAGAGTTAAGCAGTAATTTCCAACCTTTGTTGTCTGACATACAGCTCTGTCAGATGAGTGAAAACACAGTGGCTGTGTTGATCATTGGCATATATGAATCCATACACAACATTTATGCGATGATGTTTTTTGATGAGTTGGTGTATTTATAAATGTTTCCGTTGTTGGTCATGTTTGCATTCATTGCATTCACTGCATTGCACTACTACTAGAAACTGCACATTTTAGCCATTTATTACTTTTAGGCTTGCAAGTTTACACATGCTCTCAATCATAACACATGTTAAGGTGTTAAAACAGACTCAGGACGGTGAATGACAATAAATATACTATAGATTAGCAACACACCATTTTTTAAAATCCAATTTGTTGTCTTATTTCTACTCCATATATGGATAGCTCAATTTTATTGTTCATGCAAAGGTGCTTTAGGTGCATACTCATGCTTGCTGCGGCCCCAAAAGTAATGAGAATCACATGTCCAAAATACGATTTGATTTTATATTTTAGGAATTTAAGTTATGCTTTCATTCAGAGTGGTATGCGAGAAGCAAACAAAAAAATTAAATTGCCAACATCACCGACATTACAAACATCCAAAAGTGTTTTCCTGGTTCTGACTCCCTACACATTGTGCTACCAAATGGCCACCAATTACACAAGAAGAAAAATGAAAATTGCAATGTCAAATGTGAGATTTCTTTTGCAGGATAAAAGGCCTGGCCTCCTTTCTGTCAGGAAAGCTATTTATGCTTGCAGGAATTAGTAGGTTTACTTCACTGGATTGTGCTCTTCAGATAATGTATTTAGAACATCAGAGAGCTGAAAATGTATTCTAATGAAATGAGCTCTGTAATAGCTTGTACCCACGCTGGCCTGGAATCGAATCACACCACAATCTTCTCTCTGCTCAACTAGCCCCTCAGCTCTGTAGCCCTTCTCATCTCTCGCACCGGCTGTGTTTACGTGTACAGAGTAAGCCAGCTATCAGCCACACTGCGGTTAAGGTCTTATTCTTGTTAAGCTGTTTACACATGCCTTTGATAGCCTGCGACTGAGTTTCCCTGTTGCCATGAATAATCCAGTTAACAGAATATGTCTACCTGTGGTGTCCCATCCACAGATAAAACAGTCTGCCAGAGAAAACATGTAACTGAATAGTAGGTTATTTCTAATACAGTGGAAATAAATAATAAGCATAAATGTGACAGTAAGCAGTGCTGGCATATATTTGAAGACATAAAAGTGGATCCGTAACCAGTCACAGTCTGTGCAGATGATGAAAAAGTGAAAGGAATGAGGTATTTCCACGCATAGTAACGGCGGAAAAAGTGGGCATTTTATATGTGTTTCTTAAATCCAGAGTATGAGCTTAACCAGGTTGTTTCAGCTGAGTTGTAATATTTAGAGCCTTTTTACACCTGGCATCGACTGCTGTCCTTGGTGAACAGACGCAGGTGTTAATGCACTGAGGATGAAGATAGGAGATGCATTTGAGCAGATAAAAAAAAGTGCAATGCAATTTGACCCCTGTCTAAAAACAGAAGCAAGATATGTGGAGATATACAACTCTGAGAAAGATCTTAACTTCATCAAGCAACAGGAACTATTTACTAGGTGAAGTGCGTGGTGCAGGTTAGTTTTCTTTCACAACTGAACACTCTGATCTGTCGACAGCATTTAAACGATAATAAAACAATGTGATATGAAAATAGCCAATGCAAGGATGAGAAGAGCTCAATAGGTCAACTAAGATCAATATTAAATCAAATCCTGATCTAATAAGTATGTATTATTAATTTGTTGTGGACTAAATTCCCATTCACTTCTTTCTGGGATCCCCAGGCTCTGGACTATGAGACAACAAACAGCTACACTTTAAACCTCCAGGTGCGAGAAAACCTGGATTTTCCTGCTGACAACCTGAACAGTGCTGTCACCACAGCCCAGGTAATCCCCCAGTCTTTAAGTCCTCCTCCAGGGATGCTACCCTCATTTATTTTCTATTAAAACAAGACCAAAGAATCAAATGTTAAGCTCGGTTCATTATGATGGCATAAATGTACAGGTACAGCGTTGTCTGCTTCAGTGAAGGAAATAGTGTGTATTTTTTTGTTGGTTTGTTATTGTTGGTAAACTCACTTCCAAATTTACATCTTACGCAAGTAAACTAAACTTAAAAGCCACTGATTTGGAAAATGGAGAATTGGAGATTGTACAATTGGAGATTGTATAAATAAAGAACAAAGAAGTTCAGTCCAACAGTTAATTTAAAGCTTTAATACATGTGCGCAAATGACAAGTCAAGGCTGTCTTTCAACTGTTATGACACACTTAAATCGACAGGTAAACATCAAGGTGTTGGATGTAGACGAGCCACCGGTCTTCTCCCAGCCTGTGTACACTTTCACTGTGGTGGAGGAACAGATTGTGGAAAACATTGCAACAGTCACAGCCAGAGACCCGGACAGAGCCAACAAGAAGATACGGTACAAGGCTGTGCAGATGTCTAAAAATGAACAAATAATGTTACTAATCCTGCATTGTGGCTCTTACACTGACTATTGCTCTCTCTGTTTAGGTACTCCATCTCAGACAAGGACTGTCCTATCAGTATCAATCCGTCTACAGGTCAGCTGTCCACCCTGAGGATGCTGGACAGAGAGCTGGAGGCCAAACACATGTTTCAAGTTAAAGCAGAAGAGGAGCCAAATGGTACGTCACACATTAGTTTATTAATCCTGTTTCCTTTAAACAATAGAGCCTCAGATAAAAATGAAAACCATGTGTGTTCTCTAACAATGTGCATACAGGGAGGGCGTTAGAAAGGCCAAAAAGACAGTGTGTTCTCTTGTTGTTCACCGAGCAGCTCCTCTGGATTTATTGAGGGATGGAAGTGTAACACATTAACAGGGATTTTTATAGATTTAACATACTGCCACAACACCTGGTCGACCCACATGGGAAGGAGAGTGTAAGCAGGAAAATCACATTAACGGGTCTCTTTGTTCACTTGCAGCTTCCAAACCAAACTATATATTTTTAGACCAGCAATGAATGAAATCCAGAGATCTATTTCAGTGGCTTGTCAAGATGTTTAAGGAACACAATGGTCCCCTGAGCTTGACAAGGTCCTCTATATACAGTACATGTACTGTACTAAAGATAGTTTCAAAATCTCAGTACAAGAGACCTGCACATTTATCAAACAGAACATCAGTGATGTAAAATAAATGTAAAAGCTACTTTAATGTGACCAAAAAAAAACAACTGCCAAACAAAAAGCTCACAAATAGAAATCCTTTCAGTCACTTGACCCTAATCAGCTCCATCAAAGACACCTGATCAGTATCCCGGCACGGCAGTCAGATTAAGGGAAATGACGAACAAGCTGTGTGAAGGGAACCATATTGATAACAATACTAAATAAACAAAAAAAATCTGGATACGAAATGTAGATGGATTTTAGGAACTTTTTTTAATGTTTTCATTAACAAAAAGAAATTGGGAAAATGGAATGGCTACCAGTTAATCGTGTGCTGTTGTCTCTTCTCTGTAGGTTTGGAGTCATTTGTGAAAGTTAACATTATGGTTCAGGACATCAATGATAACAAACCTGAACTGGCTGTGGAGGACATCTTCATATGTGAGAACGACAATGCTAATACGGTAAAAAAAAAAAAACTTGATTTGGATATGCTCGACTGATGTTAAATGTGTCACATAGTTCTGCACTCTGTAGTCACTTAAAGGTCCAGTGTGTAGGATTTAGTGGCTAACTAAGATTGCTAACTAACTGAACACCACTCGCATCTGTATTTGATGACCTGGGAATGAGAACGAGAAACAATGGTGGCTGTGAAACGTACGAAAAACACAAAAGGCTTTATCTAGAGCCAGTGTTTGGTTTGTCCATTCTGGTCTACTGTAGAAACATGGCAGTTCAACATGACACCCTGGGAGGCGGCCTGCATTGTCTGTAGATAAAAACCATTCATTCTTCTGTAACAAAAAGACAACGATTTCTATATTCAGGTGATTATGAAAACATACCTATGAATATTATATTCCATTTCTGCCAATAGATCGTCCTATATGTTTCACACTGGACCTTTAAGTGTTAGCTGTTTCTGCATTATAAATGTACCAAAATGTGCAATGTATGCTACTATACAGATGGATGTAATTTATATTACGTATGTAAACAATATTTGTCTTAAAGTGCATTTTGGTAATTGTGCTCATTTCACAAATAGTATGTACTGTATACTGTATGCATTTAGACATCATTGGATAAATTACGTTTTTTTTCTCTTTCCTCAGGTGATAGGAACCTTGAGAGCCACAGATAAAGATGACCAGCCAGCGTCCTTCAGTTTCAGCCTGGCCAGTGAGAGCTCCAACTTCTCCATCAGAGACTATGGCAGTAAGTCTTTGTTGGCACTGAGCATAGATTTTACATTTCTATTCTTGCTTGTTGCTCTAAATGGTGCTCAGAGGAAGTACTGGCCTCAGCACTTGTTGCTATGCAACAACTGGAACTCCATTTGAGACAAGGTGCTTTGTTGCTGAAAGTTTAAATTATTTTAACTTCTCAAAGCACGCTTTAGTTCTCCCAGCCAGACGGGGGGTTTAGAGAGTCTGTCTGGGACCATAAGTGCTGTCTAGAATGCACAACAGCAAATATTGAAAATAATGAGAGCAAGTGGCTCGGTGGACTTCGAGATGACTCAATGTATTCTAAACTCATTCCAGCTAAGGATGTTAAACCTTCTCAGACCCTCAGTGAGAAGATTGGCTATTCTTTATAATTATTTTTAATGCTGCCACTTGGTCGGATTTAGTCAGATTCCCCTTAAAATCAATGAAATGAGGCGGTAGAAACACTACCGCTTTTATCCACAGGGGTCAGAATCAACACAAAATGAATTTACTTGTAGGGGCTTTAAACATAAAAAAGCAAAATGTTTGAAATAAATGTGAGGTTAAGTCTTCCAAGCATCTACTGCATATGACCATTGTATATTTGTTTATTCAAGCAAACAAGAGTACAGCCCTGATAGCGAATATGTGAGGGTGTACTTACACAGTCCAGTGCTTCGACCTAAAGGCTGATCTCAATAGCAATGATAACATGTTGATGTTTAGAAGGTATATTGTTTAAATTGTTTACCATTGTAGAGCCAGAGGAAAAATCAGGGGATCACCGATATATCATCTGAGAGCCACAAATACAACATTTTGTGTCAATCTATGTGGTAGACGTTGAAATATTTAACTGAATGATCAGCAAATCAGAATTATGATTCATCCTCTGGGCAGCATGGATATCTCTGGAAAATTTTATCCATCCAAAAAATATTAATATTTCAATATGGACCAAAGTGGTGGGCTGACAGACAAAAAACATTTGTATAATTGAATATAGTACAGTGAGGTTTTAAAATAATTCTCAGAAACATGCTTACATCATTTAATGTAGTTTTACACTTGTATTGTACTCTTTGCCACCATAGATCACTGCTGCTAGAGAGATTAAATATAATAATAATTATTATTATTATTAATAAAAGATTTTCTCTAAATTCAAAGCAGCATCTGCAGTCAGTAGATATGCTGTCGTTTGGGAGTAAAAATGTGTAGATATAAATGTGCAAGTTAAAAAATGTCAGCTCGAATAAACAGACTGTGACACATATGATAGTGTAAAACTCTACAGAGACATTTTCTTTGATCCACACAATGATATTTAGGCGAAGGTTGGTGCTCTGTTACATCAGATTTCCAAAGCCTATTTGGGTTATTCAACTTAGGACACAAAATGGCACAAGTAAAACAGTTTTCATCATTTTTGATCATCACATGCCCTTATAATACATGAAAGCCTGAGGAAAAGTGTTACCAACTGTTCTAGTCAAATATTAAAATTCTGAATAGATGAAAGCCTTAGGTAGTCAGATGAAAGATTTAGGTGAAGTGTTACTATTTAATTTAAGTGAAACTTGAAACATACTGAAAGGAAGATAAACAGAGGGGGAAAAGGCATGAACTTGCCTCATCCATATCCTCTCTGCTCCTGCCTGGGGGGGTTGACATGTTGAATCGACGGAGAAAAGGAAGAGGAAGATGGAGGAGAGCAAAAGGAAAGACAGATGAGGCAGAGGTGGAAGAAAAGATGAAAGGAGGCGAGAGGAAGAGATCAGGATTAAGGGTGATGGGTAGACCGTGTTAAAATAAGAAAATATAAAGGAAAGTGCAAAATAAAGAGAGATAAACAAAAGAAAACTAGAAAAGAGAAGAAAATAAAATATTAATGAGTGGGATAAAATGAAGAATATTTAGTGAGGAGGAAGAAAGGTAAGAACACAAAGAAAACAGAAGAATCTAAAACAGGAGTATGTGAAAAGGGTAGAAGGTGCGACAAGGGGTGGAAAGAGGAGGAAAAACGGGGATAAGAATAAATGGGAGAAAAAAATAAGGTGAGAGGAGCTAAAAATTAGGGACAGAAGGACAAGGAATGAAAGAAGAAATGAGGATAAAGAGGAGGGCATGAGCTGAGGACATAATAAAAGAAGGAAAGATGACATCAGTAACATTATTGTTTGAATAAAAGGTTGAAAAAAGGGGATAGTATAAAGATAGTATAGTAAGATAGTAGAGGAACTGATTGACGGGAAGAGGACAGTGAACTAGGAAGAACGAGAAAAGGGATGAGAGGAAACAGACAAAAAGGGCAAGGAGAGGAGAGGAGGTAAATAGCTGTTTGATAAGTGCTGGTTGTCAGTGTGAACCTCTGTTCTCCCCTGTGGTTCACGACTGTGGCCCCCAAAAATCATCTGACAGCACCTCAAACCACTTATCGCACAAACTCAAACACACACACACACGCAACAAGAGCTGCAAAGTGAGGGCTTTTAAAATATTTATCGACTACCAGCTCTTTAAAAGTTACAAAAAACAGCCATGCTTTCATTACGGGATCCAGAAACACACACACACTCCAGCAGTCAGTGTAGCTGCACAGTGAAGTGACAGGACTCGGTGTTCAGACCGGGCGGCTACACGAAGCTCACTGCATTAATACTAGACAGACAAGAGAGAGGAAGAGGAAGGAAGACAAAGAGATGAAGAGAGAAGGGAACTAATGAGATGCAGGAGGGGAGACATGGAGAGAACAAAAGAAATATAGAGAGGACAGTGAGAAAAATACAGAAATCCAGTGAGACAGGAAGGAGATGAATTCAAACAAAGAAGGAGCAGGAGACGAAGAGAAGGGATGAGATGAAGGGAGGACAGAAGCTGTTTTCATCTTTTATTCAGTTAGTTAAGGCTTGATCTGTACCCATGTCCTCCCACACACACACCTTCAGTGACTACATGTTGTCTTGTAGGCAACAGTGGAAACCTGATGAGGTGGTTGTATAGACCTTATTTAGCTGTCAGACATTTTGAACTGTCAACAAAAGACATATTTTCTCACTCACCTCCATGCTATTAGTTGGAGAATAGAATTTGAGATTTCCATCTCTTAAAAGTGAGAACTTTTTGTGAAGTTTGCAACCGAGCTAATGAGCTTGCTGGCTGGCTTATAAAGCTATTGACTGGCACTAGCATGTTCCCAGCTGGGTATTGTGTTTGCCGTTAGCGCACCAGCTACAATGTCTAGCGCCACCTGTTTGGAGAAGATGCAGGCCTTTCTGATGTGGTGTGGTCTTTATACAATGGAGCTGAATAGAATTTATATTGTGCAATCAAAACACTTAAAAAATGACATTAGGAAATTTAACAATAACACATTTTTCCAGAGACCTTGTCTCCATTACTCTGGATTATCCACACCGAACACACTGTGACCTGTTTTCATTCACTAAGAGAAAGTAGTTTGCATGCAGAGCTTGTCCTTTTTAAAGGAAGGCTTTTCAAATATAGGCTAAAGATGATCAGTTGCTTTAATCTTAACAATAATCATTACGATACTCTAAAACTTCGGAAGGGTGGAAGTGGAGTTCATTTAAAAAAAATGTGAACCAAGTCTCAGGAGAGATGAAATTGTTGACTCAAGTGATTTACTGTACCTCCCTTCACAAGGCTGATATAATTTGTATTCAAAGTGCAAATGTCAGCAACACCCAGGTTGTTTTTATTTAAACCTGCCCTTAAACCAGAGCTCTGCTGCATGTCTCTTTGTCTCAGAGTTTAACAGAGTGTCTCTAGGTATGTTTGAGTGTTCACAAGGGTCTTTCCTGCCATTGTGTTCTCTGAAATTCCTCCAGTGGTGGGATATTGTGAAACGGCTCTCCCCATCGTCTCAGCAGGAAACTTGCCTGCCGGGGATTTGACTAATGACTCTATTGTCTGCTGAGGAGACATTGCTCTGTTCTGCTCAACATGTTTCAGTTCTCTTTTTATTACAATTCTTTTTGATTTTGTTCTCTTTTGGTGCTTTTGTTAGCTTATTGTGTATTTTAAATCTTGACTTTAAAAACCTTTCTGGCTACCTATTGACCACATTACATCTAAATTATTAGGGGCTATATTGTGGTTGGACAGACATTTCCAGTCACAAAGGATAGGAAAGTACAGTATGTTGATGCATTTATTTGGGTATTTACAAGTGTAGGATGCCACAACTTCAGGTGTTTAAGGTGCTGACAACATCTATAATCCTAAATGACTCAAATCCTAAATGCACTAAACTGACACATAATCACAAATGATCTGTCTGCCTTTATGTAACAACTCTCTTCTTGTTCTGGTTTCTTGTTTTATCTGTTGAACAGACGCTTGCTGTATAAATAGACTTTAAAGACTCCATATACCGAGCAGGTGAACATTAGATCCGCTTTAGTGAGATGAAGTGATGAGTCAGACAAATTAGGCATGGATTGTGAAGAAAGGAAAGGTACATTTGTGTTGTGAAGGTGGTTGTCATATTTTGTACACTCACTATGTGTGTTTATATGCTTCTTTCCTAAGACAACACAGCAGACATCGTGGTGAAAGAGGGGCCGTTCAGCCTGGATGACCCCAAGGATTACAGCGTGGATGTGCGAATCAGTGATGGAGGGCGACCCATCCAGACAAGCGTCACCAAACTTGCAATCAAGGTCTGTGTGTGTGTTTGCGTGTGTGTGTTGAAACAGCCTGAAATTATTTCAGCACACGGGAGAATTAAAACGTTTTCAGTGCTCTTTTGTTTAGTCAAAATCACCAGTTTTACTACAGTAAAACTCTGAATATCTAATTCCATGCAATGTATAGTTTAGATGGATATACAGTTTGTAAACACTGCTTAATAAATCAATTCATTTCACTAATGTTCTGACAGAGTTATTGTTTGTACTACCTGTTGTAGTCGTGTCGGTGTGATGCCAGACGGAGTCCTACACAGTGCAAAGCTGGCGCTCGAAGGATGGGAGTAAGTGTTCATGCCCTGATAGCCATCCTGCTCTGCATATTGACCATACTGGGTAAGTTTACGTTTTGTTTTTCTTCTCTTCCTTGATTTCCTATTTGCTTTCTTTCTATCCTTCATCCTTCATCGTACTCATCACTGCACAGCATGTCTCAGAGATCATTTGTCAGGGTTTTTATCAGGATGGAGACATTCGTTTTTGTTGCTCTTCCTAAGAGTGCCTGAAGTGATTTTTTTGCATCTTGCCTCAAGTTATGTCACTTATGTCAGTGTTGTTAGAGCTAAAGACTACAACCTGAAAGACTGCAAAATGAAAGAAATCCTTGAGTGTCCAGTTTTAAACAAGTGAGCTTGCCAGACATCTGCAGCCCGCTATTCTGCTTAAGGTTAGCTGCTGGTAGCAGAACACAACTGAATCTCCGACAGTTGCATGTAGGTGCCCTGTTTTTGACAGCGAATAAGAATGCATGGAATAAAAAAAGGTGAAACGCGTCTGTGCATTTATGCTACCAAAATGGTAAAATCATAGACACCTGCAAAAAGAGCGAAAATGCATGTTGGTAATGTTGTAGCAATAATATACTCTTGTGAGTTGCAACTGTGTGTTGACTGACTTAAGCTGAAAATGAATCACGACAGCAGCTGAAAGTCTGTTTTTGTTGATCTCCACTAGAAGGTGAGATTACTAATGCTGGGTGTGGTCAGAGATGAAACTGAAACATTGAGCCAGAGAGGGCAGTGAAATACTGCTTTTCAGTTGTTTTTTTAAGTTGCAAGTTAAAAGAGTTTTTACAACACAATCCTGTTTATTTTGTAGACAGCTATGTTCATTTGATCTTGTGTCTGGAATTGGTTTGAGAAAACTGACTTTATTTTATCTTTTGTATGTGGAAGTAGGAAATCTGTTGGAAGTAAACAAATCAGAATCACAATCAAACAAGAGGGAAAAATAAAATGCATCACTTCCTGTGTGGCTCTTGGTTTGTTTAAGGTTGATTAAACACTAATATATTAGCATTTGTGAAATGGTCATTGTTTTAATCAGGGATAGAGGGCAGAAATTGAGATGTTTATGAGGAAGTGTTGCTGAAGAGGTTTTTCCTTACAGTCTTGGCTGTTTTACAGTCTGTTAACAAACAGGTGCAAAATATCTTCCTAAACCCACAGAGTTTTTATTCTGAGAGGAATTCATGAAGATCATCATCAATGATGCAAAAAGCCAGCACTGAGTGATTTGAGCATGTGCACAGATTCACTTGCCTTGCTCTGCGATAAATAAGGTTTGTGTTTTGTGGGGAACAGTTCCCCTCCCTTTGTTGTTGGTTTAATGAATAATGCAGTGGCGGATGTGGAAATAATGCCTGCGGTTGTGTGAGCTCAATATTCTCTTTGATACCTTCGCCCCCTGCTCTTTTTTTCTGGGGAAAAAGAGACACTTGTCATGTTGGATGAGAGGCACGCCGGAGATAGTTGGCCAAACAAGAGGGATCTGGGATAAGAAGTGCTGAGCAAGAAAGGCAAAGAGACGAAGAACTTAAAGATTAACAGGGACGGAGGCGGAGTGACAGATGGAAAAAAAGTCTCATATCTAGTTTTAGAAATGGGAGGTGGAGAGGGGTGAAACAGGCAGACAGACGAGAGGCGAGTGAGACAGAGAACTGAGGTGGAATGAGACCGACTGAGTGACAGAGCACGACAGAAAGAGGTTAAAGAGAGAGATGCCGAAGAGGAGAATTGTGGGAAAAGCAGCAGAAGAATAGGAGTGGTAATGAGGAGAGTTTATCAGCTCTTTAGGTGCCGTCTGCTTATCAAACACCACCAAACACTCAACCTATTAACTATTAATATACTCCTTCACTATCGGGCCTTTTCCCCTCCGTTTTTCCTTCATCTCCCTCTTCCTCTTTCTCTTTCCCTCTGGGTCTCTCTGTCTCTCTCTCTGCCGCCCTCTCTTCCCCTTTCTGTTTCTCTTTCTCTTTATCAAACACCCCCAACACAGGCCAGATTAACTATTTAATGCACTTGTCATTATCTGCCAGGGCCCAAAGCAATTTACCGCGCTCCCCATTCACCGACGCGTTTTCTCACAAGAAGCCGGGTTTGACACACGAGAAGAAATTTTTCTCAGTGGTTTCTGTACAAAGAAAGGACTTCTTCTTCTTTTTTTCTTCTCTTTTCTCGTCCCTCTAAGTCTGATATCTCCAGAGCTTATTAAACTGCAGAGCATGTGTTGTAAAAGATTAATCTGTTGGTTTCCCAGGCAAACTTAAATTAGTCCTGCTCGCCCTCAACTAAAAGGCATGGCTAATGCTGCCCGTCCGCTGAGAGAGAAAGAGGTTCATATCGGGACTGAGGCTTGAGGCCTAATCTAATGTCAAACGTATCCTTCTCCCCCTCATCTGTCTTCTCTTTTGATTTCTTCGGCTCAGACTTCTTCCATTTCTTCCTCTTCCTCCTTCCCTCAATTGTTGGCTGCTCTCCTTATTTATTTTTCCTTCTCCTTGTCCGTCATCTCTCTGGCCACTGAAATGCAGGGCGTCCCCCCCCCCCTTTTTTTTTAATCAACATGGATGGTAAGTTTAGACCAATGAAATGCAACAAAGGCAAAGTTACAGTTTGAACCAGGTTTACTGTCTTCATATGGCCTGTAAAAGTCTATATGTCTATAGTCTTTATTTCTCTGTTGGTGTCAAAATAGTCCTACCTCGTCCAGTTTCTTATTTTGTTTAGAGTTAGGCTTGAAACACACATTATGATTTCTGGACCTGTTGTATAGGATTTTGGTGTTACGAATGATCAGACCAAGGTAGACTGAAATGGTTGACAAGGAGGAGACAAATTCACAGTCTGTTGTTCAAGTGTTTCTGTCTGTCGTTTACATTATGATTACTTTAAACTTGTTTTAACCTTTATGAGTTTGACAAAACTGTTCACGTCACATGGTGGTGAATGTTTAAAAGCGTAGAGTCCTTGTTTTCCCAAGGCAAATTCTTTTTGATGAATGATGATGATGATGATGATGATGAATGTTCAGTTGATCCGAAACCGTTGTGGTTAAGATTTGGTTAGGTTTAGGCACTAACTAACTTGATTAGGGTTAGGTAAGGACTGTGTTTTGGGTTGGAAACCAGTGTTGACTGTGTAGGAAGCGAACAGTGGTCTCTGTTGACCCATTCGACTTCCACAACCTTCTTCCGCAGCGGCTCTACAACAATGCTGTGCTATACCTCCATCATTGCTCCTGACCGACAAGAGTAATAATTCCTACCACTGGCAGAAATCTTTGACACTTGAAAGTTCTTGTCTTTACTCTCTTACTTCATTTGTTTTCCCTTCTTTCTTCACCCCTTCTCCCTCTTTCTCAATTGTTTAATTTTCTTCGTCTTCTTCGTGCCAGATACAACTTTCCTTCCCTTTCCTTTCTTTCTCATGTTGTTTTCTTATACTCATTTCCACTTCCTCCACTGTATTTACTGAGTCTCTCTTCCTGTTTCTAATTCTTCCCTCTCTTTGTGCTATCTGTTTGTCTCTGCCTGAGTAGATTCATTTGAGGTTTTCATGCTCGAGGCGAACGTCTCAGACACCTTAAACCATCCACTCCTCATTTTCTCCCCTCATTCTTGCTCTGTTTTCTAGTATCATTCCCTCATTAGTGTGCCACTTTTCTCACTTGTTTCCTGCCCCCATTCTTATTCTGTTGTGGATTTTCTGGCCTAATTTTCTGTATGTTTTTAAATAAAGTGTTGATTTAGCAGGAAAGATGATTGTTCTTCTTCGGACGTCTTCAATTTTTTACCATTAGCTATAATTCCTTTAACAGACCAGACATGCATTAGAGGGGGTTTTACACTTATATATGGCCTGGATACATATATTTATTTTCTTCATCTTCCTCAGATAGTGATTTCCTAGAATGATTTCAGATGGCCTTAATCTTGCAAGGTCAGATCTCACATGAGCAAAAATGTCAAGTGAATATTTGATTCGACACTTGCAGCCTATCCCATATTCAGTTTTGTTAATCTCTGCCCCTTATGTCTAAAATGAGCAAATAATTTCAACATTGTTAACATGTGTGAAAGATGTTGCTGTCTAAGAGGATTCACACAACAAATATGTTGTAAAATCAACTTTCCTTTGCTGTGCTTTTCAGTCATAGTGATCCTGTTTGTGATGAGGAAACGCTACCAGAAGGATTCTTTGGCCAGTATGAAGAACAGCGGGGAGATTCACGAGCAGCTGGTCACGTATGATGAGGAGGGAGGAGGAGAGATGGACACTAATGGGTATGAAACAAAAACTCACTTGAATGAATGAATATATGAATGCATATATAACTGAAATGTGCTGACATTGGTACATTTCCCATTCTTTTTCTTTATGGACTTCTTACAAAATACAATGATTTTTAACCTCTAACTTCTGAAACAACAACTGTAATTTATGAACTGGATGTTAAATCTACGAATCAAAATAAGTGAATGAAAAGATATATTTTTACTTATCCTTTCAGCTTTGTTTTTGGTTTTGTTTGTCTGACCCTTAAAAGTGGCATCACTAAATTCAGTGAGTGGTAAGAACTAAAGTTAAGTTAAGTCAAATGTATTATTTGAAACACATGGTTAAAACACAATTTATTAACAAGAAAACTTGTTTACTGTAAATGTAAATGTTCTTCAAATTCATATTTCTGTTTATATATGAAGACATAAATAGATATTTATATCTTTATACTTCATGCACTATCAACTCTCCCCATTTGCAATATTTATTTTCTTTGCTGAATCCATCAATTTGCTGACCTAGTTTCTCCAAAAGAAATCATTAAAGTTTAATCTAATCTGAATCTAATCTTATCCATATTTAAATAGTATTAAAACCATACATAATCCTGTAGACTATCCATATTAACTTCACCACACTGTATGCTGTCAAAAGAGAAAACAGAAATTATTATTGACATTTCTGTTCTCATAATTTCAAATATATGCTTGATTGAGGAGTTTCTGAATGTTACAAAAGGATAAAATCTTACTGCCTTGTTTTGAAATAGGAATAACTATTATAGCTTAAATATTAGCTGATGTTTTTATTCCCTCTGATAGCACTATGTCACTGTTTATTTTCCTTATTTTGTGATATTTAGGATAAATAGCAGTGTGTTGATTTAATTGCAAGCCAGAAAATGCTTATGACCCCCTGAAACAAACATTTATTCATGAATAAAAACAACCCACCCATTCTTAGGTGAGGAACCAGCTCTTACATACAGTATTCCTCTCTTTCAGCTACGATGTCTCAATCCTGTCTTCTGCTTGCCATGATGGCTCCTTACTCCGTCGCCCGGACCACCACCCCCATCCCTCTCTCTACGCCATGGTCCAGAAACCCCCTCACCACTCTCAACCCACTGCATGTAAGGGCGACATGGCCGTGATGATCGAGGTGAAGAAAGATGAGGCAGATCACGACAGGGACGGCTTCCCGTACGATACCCTCCACATCTACGGCTATGAGGGACCAGAGTCTTTAGCCGGAAGTCTCAGCTCTCTGGAAAGTTCCTCCACCGATTCAAACTTGGATTACGACTTCCTCAGCGACTGGGGGCCAAGGTTCAGGACCCTGGCCGAGCTGTACGGCGTGGATGGACATGAGTACTACCATCAATACTGATGGAGACCGTCTGCTAATAAACATAGTATATGGTGCCAAAATACACACACAAACACACACACACACACACACACACACACCCACACAAACACAATCAAAAACAGCCATAGAAATACGCTTACACAAAGCCAAAAGCATGCAGTAAATATACACATTCCCACACATATAGAACCAAGCTTTGATTCTGTCCACTTTGTTTCTGGACAAGGAGCTTTGATCAAGCAGACATGTTCTCCAAAGACTTCTCTAGCTTTTGAGAACAGAATCAGGGCGCTCTTGTTTCCAGTGTAACAACATTGAACTTTTGAAGTATAATTCAGTGAGTCTGTTAGTTTGTCGAGCCTCCCAAGTCTGTTCACTCCCAGTCATTAAATAAGAGCGTCATTAAACTCCAGGAGGCTCCAAGTATAATCAAGGAATCTTTGTTTTTGGAGCTCTTTTACTTTTGATGACATGGTGCCCTTTGTCACCTTCGATGAGATGTTGAAAATATTTTTAATGCAACACCAGGACATTGCACCACAGGAGAAAGAACTGCTCCACAGATGTGCAAGAGGATTGATTGTTGGTGACAGGGAGTGATTCACACAGTGAGGATGCATTTTATTCCATCATAGTGTTGTGATGTTTGACACCATAACCCTTTAATTCTACCTAAGAAGATCTGGAAATCCAAACAGATGAAACTCCACTTCGGGCCGTAGACAATCAGTTTATCTTGGAGACCTGATTGGTTAATCAGTTCACTGCTGGCCAGCGACCAGTTAATCAACTTCTTTTGCATTTAACTTGTGTCTCAGCTCCTTCTTGCAGCACCATTTCGCATCCCCCTTTATCCTGTATCTTTTATAATTAGTCTTTTCTATGCATCTACATATACACCTACCATGGATGCATTTGGGATTACTAAACATGAACACAAAGCCTACATTTACTACAAAAACATTGTTTTTAAATGTATGCATATTATATCCTGGCTAATATTGAAAGACATAAACTTGTCATTTGGATATATGCTCATTTAAGTTTATTGACTATTGGAATTTCAATATAAAGTAAAGTTTTAAATTAGTTTATGTCCGTCCTCCTGGGGATGTAATATGGTGCATGTCAAAGCAGTTCATTGCTGATTTAAGTTTTACATTTTCTGTATTACTCTTTTCTTTTTTAATCTCTTCTAAATTTTATGTTTTTTATGTTTTATAAAAGGGCCACAAACACAACGAGAACAAGATGATTTTATTTTTGAGGTGAAAAACTTTGAGCAGCCACAAGAGTTTAACTCAAAGACTATTGAGATGTTTGATGACAGCGAGATGCCAGTTGTGTTGAGTTTATCTAAAATACTGTAAAGGACTGTATAGGAAGGTTAAACAATGGAAAACATACACAGTTCATCAGTCTATGATATCCAGTGCAGTTTTGTCCACTTCTCATTGTATATAGTTACAGATTTACTACATTTCCCTGAATGCAATTGTGCAGCAGGTCTTGACATAACATGAGGTGTTTGTCAATGGAGTAAAGAAAATGTTCAGATATGGTCCATCAAAAGTTTAGCACTGTTTCAGTTTTAAGGTAGAAACCTTATGAAATCCTTTCCCCTCTTTGTGTTTTCTTTAAATGAATGAGGACTAATTGTCTAAGTGACTCATTTTGTCCATTTTCCCATCTGCTCTGAGGGGAGAAAAGACAATACAGACAGAAAGGAAACGGCACTACTGCTGCTCAAACAGAATTACAACAGGGTTTATTTGACAGAACCCATCATCACAGTTATTGCTCAGATGAAAGCCCAATTCTCAGAGGTCTACTAAAACAAAAGTCATTCAGACAACTCAGGAAACACCAAGTAGCACAAGCAGCTAGTTGGGCAGTTGTGATGGCTCTGAGGTGGCTTGAATAACTTTAACCTCTCATCCTTTTTGGCTACTGTCGTCACATGAACTCTGATCCAACACAATCTTTAGATGATTTTTAGCAAGAAACAAAAAGCACTGCACTGATCATTCATAAACAAAGCTAAAATCTGACCTGGAACTAACTGTAGTTTGTCCCATCTTACAAGAAGGCAAAGGAGGCTTTGTTTGACCCCTGGCTATCTCGGAGAAGGCTGTAGAGCAACCAGCCAAGAACTATTTATCAATGACACCATAGCATTTAAACAATAATGACATTTTGTATCATTATAACTGAAGGCTCTGCTGATAAATCATGGCTTTTGCAGTTAGAAGGTCATTTATAAAGGGTCATAACAGTTAAAGGTCACTCATTGTCAGTAGTGACAATTTATAAATCAGTTTACTTAACTGTAAAATGCCCATTCCCATTAAAATAGTCCACTCTGCTGACAGCCACGTGTCTTCAGGACAGTCCATTTGTTTAAATAAAAAGAAGTAATTTCATTCTAGTTTAGAGAATATAGTTTATTTACTCCCTTGTTTATTCTGTTTTGTTTGGACTTGAACTTGTTTCTTTAAAACTTTGGCCTGTGTGGAATGCCATTTGATAAACGGTGGATACAATAGCTGGAAGCCCTCTCAGTGCTTTCCTGTTGGGATCATATATATTCTTAGAGCAGCCAGTTCCTCCATCTCACTCTGTCTCAATCTGGTTCTCCTGCTCTCCTTGTTTGCCTCACCGTATCTCTACTACACTGTTGCGCTCTCTCTCCCTCCTCTAATCAGCTAAACCAAACAGTGGAGTCAACTTCCTGTCCATCTGGGGCGTTGTGCCCGCCCCTTCCTGTCTGTGTTATCTCTCTCGTGAGCCAACACATTGTGCTTACTTCCTGTTAGCCCTGCCTGGGAAACAATCTTGGAGAGGAAAAGGGAGCGAGGCGAAGGAGAAACATTGTAAGAGGTTGGGGGTTAACAAGAAAGAAAGATGAAGAGAACAATGAAGAGCAGTGATGAGTTTTCCAGCTGAGCAGAAACACTTTGGAGCTATGATGTGTGTGATAAAACGTTGAGACACATCACACATGCAAGTGGTGTTAACATCATGTTGCCCTGGCATCTTTTATGAAGCAACATTCAGAAATCAATAAGGATTACCCACAACTCAGTCTTTGAATTTGTAATAGGAAACTCTGCACTTTGGTGGCTCCAAGTGGCAGAAAACATTTTAAAGTTTGCACTGATGATTACATTCGTATCAAAAGTAGGAATAGAAGACAACAACTGGTTTTATAAGCCGCATGTCTAACATCCAATGAACAACCAATGGCTTACTTGTCTGGCAGCCATCTTTGTTTTGGTCACAGAAAGGAGACTCACCTTGTGAATCAAGTTAAAACTCTACTTCACTGTACAGTGGAGGAATAATGTTTTTGTTCTGTCTTTTCAGACCTGTGGCTCTAAAGGAATTTGTGTATTATCATCATTATCGTTGATTTCAGCTTTTATTATAAAGGTCTGTGTCTGCAAAACATCTGTGTTGTTGAAATCAGCAACCTGGAGCAGATAGAGCTGCTCCATTATCTACTTTCTTAACAGCAATAAGTGTTGCTTGTTGGAGAGGCAGATGGGTACATTTGCTAACAATTTTAGCCAGCAGTGTTTTCCCACAACTGTATGTAAAATACATACATATATACATTTATACTTCTAAAATAGTCCATAACAGAAAATGTCAATCATTAAACCATTTATTTGAAGCATGTGTTTAGATTCTTATGATTTAAGTGTCATATTTGGTTTTATTTTGTGTGCTGGCAACATAATAACTTAGACATATTGTTCTGGAATTTGTTCTCTCTACCAAACATGTAAAATAATTAATTTCAGGCTGGCACTTTCATTTAATTATTTCTAGTCTTTGATGGTCTTATCTTCCTCTCCATAGTGACTCATCGGACATTGCAAAACATTACAGAATTTGTGATATATTTAATATCCTAAAAAGTGCCATCAAACGGTGAATCACTTCCAGACATCCAGACAGTGGAAATATATCTCTCAGGTTGGGATCCAGGCACAAAAAAAGTAATTCACCTTTATGTCAAGAAACAAATGCCCCATACGTATTATCACACTAGCTTCACAAACCAGACCTTTAAAGGATTTACCTGTAATTTAATCTATGACATGTTATTGAGGGGTTACTTTGAGTAAAATGTATATAGGAAAAATGTGCCTAACAGTGATTTTTCTCTTTTCTCCCTTACCTTGTTCATATTTTGCCTCAATTACTGTATTTAGAAGATGTTAAACTTGACACAATCTCTTTTTACTGCTGTGAACAGTAACAAAAGGTTCATTTTCTACAGATTAAAGAGAGTAGTCTTTGATGCATGAGTGACTGCCCGAGTGAATATGTGATATTCTGTTTGTGTTTGTGTGTGAATGTGTGTGTATGTGCTTGTGATTGTACCCATGTACATACACACAAATGAGTGTCAAACCAATAAAATAAAATAAAAAAAAATTTTTTGTGTAAATACAGTAAGGGTCTTCAAGGGAGCAACATGTGCCTTTATTCTTTAAAATAAATCCTGTAATACATTTTTTTGATGGCAAACACAATGTTTTTCTATATTGTTTTTATGGTGTATAGCAACTACTTTTTATTACCTGACATTTTTGTAAGTGTAGAATAAAAATAAACACTCAAATACGTTTTGTTGTCTTGTGATTGGTGTTTTGAAGTTCTACATTTTTGGCATCAGTTTGATGTTTTTATGATTTAAACCACTTAAATAATATCATGAGACCAGTATGAAGCTAAAGAGGGTAACTAAAAAGAAAAAGTGAAAAGAGCAGATGAAAAGATAATAATTTCTAAAAAAATATCTATGTCAGAGTTATTATCATACATACATATTATCAAGGATTTGGATTTTAAGGTTGATTGAGAAAGAATGACGTGTGTTTTGATGACAAAAATCCTCCTTTATGCCCATAAAAGGAGAAGGTGGAATTTGCTGATGATAACACAACAATAGGTCAGGTATGTAGCAGATTTTCAGTAAATATAAAGTATATAAAGTGTTGATATGGACCTGATATAACACCAACCAATTTTTATAGTCAGTCAGTGTTTTCATAAGAGTCCATGTGGTGAAGATCAGCGCTGTTCCTCTGTGTAAAATGATACAACATGTCAAATGTTACAGATTGTGAGGCGGTGTGAGGAAAGCTCTGATCTCCTTCACCTTGATCTTTGACATGTGATCAGACGTGAGTCGGAGGATATCCTCTGTTCTGCTCTTTCTAAACCAAGTGTAAATTCAGCCCAGGTTCATGCAGTTTTATTATGGTTGGGGCCGGTGGATTGGGGGGTCACACAGTGTGTGATCATATCCATATGAGACATGAACATGAGACATGGCCAAGCGTACAAGACCACAGGGGTAAAAATAAGAGAGAAAGACAGTCAGACAGAGACAGAGAGAGAGAGAGAGAGAGAGAGAGACAGACCAAAAGTGATGTCTTGACTTGGCACCCTGCTGTGTACTATACACACACACACACAAACACACACACACACACACACACAAGAAAGATCAACATAAAAGAATTTGTGATTTTGATCTGGCTGACAAATTACTTTAAAATAGGACCAGATGTAGTGAAGACACCTTCAGGCTTTGTTCACTGATGTTGTTATGTGTGACTGCATATATAAACATATATGTGTCGGGAAGCTCAATTCCAAGTCCTTATGACTAAATGTCAAAAAAGCTCATTTGTCTTATCCTGCCTTACAAAACAAACCATACAACTATTCATCATCCTACTCATCCGACTTCCACCTTTGCTTCTGAAAAAGATGGTCAGTAGTCATTTTTGTTTTTCAAAACTGAATAAACAACTATTTCAGTTTTTATATTCAGAACAGTCTCTACACACCGTGTGGATCATTGTCAGCTCAGACGGCCTCTACGTTTTACAATATTTTCCTCTATGTACCACTGTCCTTCACATTCCACCTGTTGGTTTGTTGATGTCTGGAAAAGTATGACAGGAAGAAAAAGTGACATCAGTGCAGACCCTCAATAATAAGTAAACACATGAACAAGAAAGAAAATGCTACCTGCCACCCAGGCCAAGGGTAATGTTTCCTATTCATTGCTTGTCACCAGGCATTGAAAAAAAATACAGTATGTGTGTGGCGTAATCGGTTATACTGCAACATGAAGTCAGTGATCAAAGACAGAACTCAGTACTCAAGTACAGAAAGTTGGCCTCTTGATGTTGCATGCATTCGACCATATCCGTGAAAGGTTGTAATAATGTAACAATATGTGTAACAATCAGAATCCAGCATTCTAATATTGTTAGCATTCTTGTACGCACACACAAGGGTTATAAATACCAATTCAATGTACCAAGTTAAGAAAAGGAAAGTAACATGTGGAAATGTAAAAAGAATCAGTATTTAAAGCTATGATCATATTACATTTCCATCCTAAGAATATTCACTCATTCATTTCTAGAATGAGTGAATATGCCAGGATGACAAACAAATTCAAGCACGTGTTTCCTGTTTCAGTGCGACCGGCGGACTCACAGCTCAGTGTTCCCCTTTGTTCAACTTCAATTCAATTCAAATTCATTTGCTCATTTGGCCAAGAGAAACACTGAATTACTGTGTTTGGAAATCACCCACTTTAGTGCAATATTACGCAACCAGACTATAAACTACAATAGACACTGTTTACAGTTATCAAATTAATAATATATATTTATTAACCACATCAGAGCGGTGACATTATGTCTTGTTTCTGGGCAATGTCGTTGAACTGAAATGTTATGTGACCATACCTTACGGCATGTCTAGAAGAGTAAAGATATATGTGTGTTAGCGTTGTTTTAAGGCCTAAGTCCAGGGCTCAGATGCCCAAACAGGCCTTACACAGCTAAAGCCGCTCACATCTGTCAGGTGCAGCCTGCTTTGACGACCCACTCAGGCTGCTGCAAAGGAGAAGAACAAGCACTGCACAGACTGCGCAGAGGCTGTAGCACTAAATTCATCCAACATGGGAGAGCATTTTAAAAAAACTACCTTACTCTTTTAAGCATTGTTGACATCTGAGGCTAAATACATTATATGCATTTAGGTGCCTCTCTAAATTAGGGTGTTATCATCCATAACAAAACTTAACACACATGAATACCCCTTTAAAGTAGATTCTGACTCCTGTCATTTTTCAAATAGGCAGAACACAACACAACTCTTAATGATTCCATGTGGTCCAGCATTCAACCCTGGACACTTTCCCATACTTCTATTATACCTCTATTTTAACACTCTGTAAAACCAGATAATAAGGAATATGGGTGATTATGAAAAGCTTTCACTGAGTCTTATGAGCTGCACAGACACCAAATTCATACTGTCATCAGTTATTCAGGCGAGGAGGATGGCTGGAAGATGTGACGGATGTCTGCAGGAAGGAGTGAGACTGAAAGGAAAGACAGATTGTGATCAAGAGAGGGGAGAGGCATACTTCCATCTTCTCTTCCCTCCTCCCTCAACCTCGGCTCAACTTTGTTCTACTTGTGGCCAGGATGGGACAGGACCAGCTGGCGGCAACATGCTAAACATTGCGTTAAACTACAAAACCAGACTATTAAACTGAGACATGCTTTATCCTTGAATACGATTACATGGCAACTGCGAATGGATAATCCTTTGAAGCCTGATCAAAGAAAGTCTGAATTTTGAAGTGGGTTGCAGTATGTGTTTAGATGCAAAAGGAGTTGATACGGGTAGCTGTTTACATGACTACAGCATGTAATCCAGTTAGAGAATACTCTGAGTCTTGTCACGAGCATTTATATTTGTTTCTGTTAGCATGAAAAACAGCACAGATGAATGTGAGAGAGTAGCACAGCTACTGTACCTGTGAACAGTCATTTAAAGAATTACACACATATATCACAAGATTTGTTTTTGCAAAGGCGCTTGATATGTGTAGGTTTTTAGGGGGTATTTAAACCTGGTACTCTCTTTTTGTTGCTTCATTATCGAATTTGGACATGATCATATTTTACTACAGACATATGATCCTCCATTATGTTCCTATCATCTAAACACCCTTTAGATGCCTTCAATTATTTATACACAATCAATTTATATTCTTAAATATTGTTGATATAAAGAAATCTAACATCATTCAAAATGTGTCTTCATGCATACTCTATGTGTGACTGATCATAAACCTTTAGCTGTGAAACATTTCAGCTCACAGATGTACTCCCTTTTGTTCTTTCAGTAAAGATGCCAGTTATGTACCAAAACATGTTCCAACCAAAAACAGTCCTCTCACTATGATTATCTCTGTCAGTCAAGGGGAAAAAGAGGGAAAAAAGGTGCAAAAATCACCTTGAATTTTATACTTAATGTGATGCTGCAGCCATAAAAATGAGATCTTGAATTTATGATGCATCCAAAAAAAGCTATTTAAATGGAACTTCAAGGGGGAAAAATTGTCTTTTTGCACACTGTAGGGAAATGTCATACAAAGAGAGTGAAATATAAAACCTAAGACACGTCTTTTTTATGGACCATTCCAGTAAATGCATAAACCCTTGATTTCTTGTCTTGCCTAATTTGGTCCACCTTTCACTAAAATTACGCAGTATTTGGGATCTTTAAAAATGTTGGAATTGTAACACGACTCAGAATAAATTTCAATGGGTATAAACAAGAAACCAGGTCTCTGAAATGGATTGTAAAGTTTAAAGACTAAATTCAGTTGAATTCAACATGAGGAATGTCTTCCATTGTCACAGACAAACTGATGTTTCTTCTAAAACCTGCCAACTTGTCTCCTTGCCCACATCTTTCGATAAAATCTCATAAATAAAACCTCTGTGTGTATTGTTATTGCAGAAGGAGAAAAACTGTTTTCTTTGGGTTGTCTGTGCAAATATGTCACTGTGGTGTAACGCAAGCATTCAGACTAAACACTGTGGCACACACAGGTTCTGGCCTCATGCTGGGGATCATGATTTACGTTTGGGTCTCTTTTGTTTCATGTCCTCTGTTGGTCTGTAAAGCAGAAGCGCTTGTCTTTGTCAGAGGCAATAGTAATGCTGTGGCATGTAGCTAAGAAGGTAGAACATGGCAATGCCAGATTTAGGGGTTGTGTTCCCTCCGTGTAAGTCACGGTAGAGCGGGATTACATACCAGTACCCCTCCCATATGGATGCCCACTGGAAAGAGGCCTGGTCCTCATTCCAGGTTTGAAAAGCACTGCAGTCAACCATCACAAAAGCAGAGCTGCATCAAACATCCCACTGACACGCTGACAAACAAACCTGAGTTCAAAACAGCCGCTACAAAAGGAGCGGGGACAGGAGCTGTTGCAGATGTAGACACCACTGAGGTCCAACATCTCCCTGAGTGTTTGCTGGAATCTGTTTGGGAAAAGAAAGACATGCTCTGGTAACTATTCAGCTGGGAGATGTTGTAGTTTCGTGCTTTAACACTGAAGACTGATTTATCAGCTGCTCTAATGTCAAGTAAAACATGTACACAAAGGGTGACTTCAACAATGACTGTAGCTGTTTGACTGACATCCTGTCTGTAAACGGTAAATACAGCAATGTGAAGAGGAGGATATCCCCTTCCCTCATCCTCTTTGTTTGCTCCTTTTTGCTTTGCAAAA